ATCATTTAAAATGACAACGAAGGGTCGTTGTTAAGTTAACTGTACATCATATTGTACACATTATTCCATTATTTGTGCAATATAATGGTAAACACATATTCAAAGTAGTTTCATTAAAATATTACTATTCCATCTATACCACACGCCTACGGTATTATTAACCAAAACTTTATTACGGTATATGGTACGAATTGCTCTCTTCAGTTTTACCTTACAAAGTATATTCCTGAATACATGTATGAATGCTTCGTTGCATTCATTGAGACTGGAAGAAAAAGAAATGTTCCTTCAGAACAAAGACAGTGTAAGGAATATACCTCCACATATGTAAAAGATGATTTTCGCTTTCTGATTTGTAGTAAATTTGACAATATTGACATTTGTAATATTATGAAAAGTGAAAATTATAATGATTTTTCCTATCTGCAGTGTATGTCCACACAAAATCAGCTTGAGATTGAAATTCTGCAGACATTACCATTAAAAATTAAAGGAAAAATAAAAACAACATTCAGTCAACTGTTACTGTATCAGTTGAAATGTATAGACAATGCATTACAGAACTTTAGACAGTCTTTGTTCAGATTAGTTAATGATGCTTGACTTGATCAACAATAATTTAAGATTTTAATAACATGCAGGCGGCTATTACTGTACCTGTTATAATAACTGTACAGTCATTATTATTTTCATGTAAAATAAAGGTATCCTTTTTAGTTTAAAAAAAATCATATTTCATCTACTACCACGTGTCACTATAGTTCTTTACAAAAAATATCAATGGAATATTTCTCTGATTAAAGTATACATAAGTTCTTAATAATAATATGTATTACAATACCGTCTACATCATTTTGAAATAGGCTATAACCAAATTGTGACCAGGTGTGAACATTGAAATGTATGCTAGGTGAGACTAGGTATTTTAGAAATGTGTGCTAGGTGAGACTAGGTATTTTAGAATTGTATACTAGTTGAGACTAAACCTCGAACGCAACTCCAACAAGAAACACATGCTTAGTATCCGAGTACCACTGTTAAACTGACATTGTGCATTGTTAGCTTTTTTCCAACATAACTATAGCTTTGATTATAAATTTCATGAAATATCAAGCATTTTTTCTATTGACAAAATGTTTGCCCTCATGCTAGCTACGCCGAGAGCCGAACTTCATGTGGACTTCTCCAATTTACCTCCATCTGGACAAAAATCCTTAATCCCTGTGCACAAACCCTCAACCTCAATGCACTGCAAGGTCTATGGTTGTTAATATGGAGTCAGCAAACGAATTAGTACTACATGTTAATGTAGATATAAAAATAAAAATAAACGTAATATGAGATATTATTAGGTTTACAAACATACCTAGAAAAGATAAGTAATTCAATAATTTTCAACAATAGAAAATTAAAGGTGACATTAATTAACACATAAAGGGTTGTATTGAAGTTTATCGCCCAAGCTAACAGTGCTTCGTACCATCATACACATAATGTATACCTGTTCAAAGCATATTTCACGCCTTTTTTACCAATTCACTTTTTTAAGATTTTGATATTATAGATGAACGTAGCTATAAATAGACATATATTTTTATATATGTATTATATAAATTTTAGGAATAAAAGAAAAACTGAAAGTCAAACATTTTAAACTTAAATCTCCAGGCTTTAAGCTGACAAAGCTTCTCACAATTTTTTATAGGTGAATGTGTAGCAGTATTGTAGTTGGTTACTGAACTGATAAACTACACAATTTCCAGTCTGAAAAGACGTTTGTGTCCGAGCTACAGTTCATATAGGGGGTGCTTTTTGCACAGGATCTTGACAAGGGCACTAATAAAGACACTACCGTAGCATTATAGAGATTAAAGCATACAAGCTGAAAAAGTACGTCGTACTCCTAATCAGTCATAGTTTCCTTTTCCACTACATTTATACATTAATGGCATTATCTAGTGTTTTGCCTGCAGTGATAAGCGGATTCTTAATAGGAATTCATAATGTTACAGTATTATTTTGATAAATATTATATGACCCAACAAACTGAAGTGGCATTTATTGCAGTGTGAACGCGAGTGTTGTCACGTGACAAGCTAGGTGATGAGTTTTTAAGCATCCCCGTGCCACTACTGAAGACTTATTTAAGTGTTAGAAACTGGTGTTTTTTCACGGAACGACTAGGGAATAGCTTTGATATATCATTTCTGAAAGGAAAACAATATCTTACGGGACTTGATAAAGATGAAATAAACAAATCTAATCAACAGCATTGTTCAGAGTGTGAAAATTCAGCAGATTCGAACCCTTCACTTCAGATTGTTATACTGTCGCTCTAACCGATTGAGTTATCTGCTCAGCAGAGGTGTTCTGACCAAACTTTGCTACAGTTATATCCTAACGGAAGTTAAAGGGATATTACATTATATAGGGAAAACACAGTGTAGTGGAACAGGGATACTTATCAACAATGGATAGCTTTGATATAAAGCGCTCAATTGACTCAGATTGCTAGAGTGCCATTCTGCCAATATATCGCTCCATGGACGATACCGTACTAACATTATGGCATAAAAGTCAGTAATAATTAGAAAAAGATGTCGATTTAATCATCAAAAGCTGTTTAGTGTTTAGGATTTTAGTTGGCGCGATTCAAGGCGTACGCATACAAGCTTCATTAATATTACATTCTGTCACGTGAAACATATCCGACCAAAACGTTATCAGTAAAAAAAAAATGAAATGAAAATATGCAGTTTCTCCCTACCTTTTTGTGAACGAAACGATTTTTTGATACTCCTGTAGACAATAATACACTGAACAGTTTCCCCGAGAATTTCGAACCACCTGGAAGTACACGCAATATTGCCTAAAAAAAGCTTCGGACAATAGTTGCTTCGGTTGTTTGAACCTTGCGATTTGACCGAATTAACTGTTATTTGTCAGCCTTTTAAACTCACTTCACAAAAAGAGATAGAAAATAAAACCCCACCGAAGCAAAGGTATGAACAATGTACAAAGGGGGGTAATTCACTCTGATGCGGATTTGTGTATTTTCGTATATACAAGATACAAGATATCACTGTACAAGAATTTTCATTTAGAGTCGTATATGCTATAATGTGAACATTAGCTCTGTAGCGCTATTGTTACGACCTTATACAGTAACCTCCCCTTAATTTCAGTTTTCATATAACTGTAGCAACGTTGACCAAGTACATGTAGTTCGATTGGTCAGTATTCCGTCTTTTCGTATTGCAGAGTTATCTGTTCTTGTGAGCAGGTATTGATTGTTACGTCATCAGGTTATGTGAGAAAATTACGTCGTTTTCTCAAAAATGTATGACGTTACTCGCACAAACAAATGAGGTACACATGTAACAAGCAATACCTGCTTACAAGAGCAGATAACTATGAAATAAGAAAAGGCGGAAAAACATGAGATCCAGGGTTCGAATCACGGTCTTACTCATCATAATTTTCTCTCATAACACTATTGTTGATTGTATTTGGTTAATTTCACTTTTATTATTCATTAAAATCCACCAGCTTCCTTCATACACGCACTTACAAGCATGGATACACAACACACATGGAGTCGCATCCTTAAATGATATTAGCTGTTAAAAGGACGTTAAACAATGTAAAACCAAAACAATTCCTGCAAATTATGTTTTTATTTTTATTTTCAGAAATAATTCATGATATGACAGAACAAGCATGTACCAATATGAAGTTATACATATTTAGGCGGTGGTACGGGGATCCTTAAATGCTTCTTTCTCCATATACAGACATATACTGCATTGCTAGCATACTACTGGAGCGGTACACACTTTCAAACTACTTCCGTTTCTTTACCTTTATCAAACGCCTGTGTTTGTCATCATCTTATAAGTGTGCTGACAGCTTACACTTGTACAGTAAGGAGGTGGTTAGCTCTCCAAATCAGATGAATAATGTCTATACAATTCACAAGTCATTAGAACCGGCGCTACACATGTGTGATCGTACAATTTTATCACACTGGTAACGGAAACAATTCGGCTACAGTAGGCACAAAGCAAAGACATACAAAAGCATAGTAATCTGTAAATGAGACACAATCGCTGAAGTGTGACGAGAATTGGCTGGAGTGGAGCATAGGGACCTGAGAATCTGAGAATGATCATTGGGGATGGCATTTTTACCGAAAATCGATCTAAACCCCCCAAACGTGTAAAATTACTCTAAACACCTTAGTGTAGGTCCAAATATAGCTGTGACCAATTCTCAGGTCCCAGCGGAGTGGAGAATCGACAAGTACATCAACCAGAGACGTAACAACCAATCAAATGCACGAATATGATCCATACACCAACAAATCTAAGACTCATCCCGATGCTTGTGGTATTAATAATACGTATTCTTTTTGTTGTGCATTATACCGCGAGTAAAAAATGAAGAAAGTTATAAACAAGTTATCTGTTTGAATATAATCTAAATCCGTGTATGTTGTAGATCGTAACATTACTTTGGTGGTGTTCCGTGGAATAACTTGTATGTTCAAAGATGAAATAAATCGTAACATTACTTTTGTGGTGCCAAACTTTCGCTTTCGCGGTGTTTTTTTTAACTAAAACGAGATCAAAATGTACTATATAAGACTGATATAAAGCTGACATTGTGTAGATTCACGGAAATAGGTCGCTATTTAAGTCCGTGCTCATATGTAGCGGTAATTTATGACACCCATAGAAAGGAAATGAGAAATGCATTTCAGTTAGTTGACAAATACCATTTTAATGTTAGATACGTAAAATACATATCTCTCTTACTTCTGTTTGTATGTTTTACTTTTATAGTAATGAAATTGATAAAACCAGAGACGTATTATACGCTCTCGTAAAACATAATTAAAAGAAACGCCACTGACTATAGCTTATCTTCATCTCCTGGCATATCATTTTCCCAGGTAAATAGAGATCGACGTCTCCTCGCCTGAGTGAGCACAGCGAACACGGTGGATCTTGCTGACGTTTCGTGATCTTTAGCGTACCGATCGCGGCGGAACGCGATGGTTTTCCTTATCATCGCAATCTTTCGTGATTGAAATTTGAAGACCCCCCGGCATAATTGGTGATCATCAAGACTCTTGAAGATCTTTCAAGCATCGTGTAAAAGTTACACTTATTGTGCAGAGATCTGTAGCTTGTTAAAAGTTTTAATTGGGCAGTAAAGTTTACCACGCTTACCATAGTCAAGAACCCCACGGGGTGTTCACTACACATACGGTGATACAGAACAGGGGACCGAGTTCGGAGGAAACAAGGATCGACGTTATTCTGTGTCTTTAGTTGAAAGAATGGCTGGGACGTCGTGTGCAGGGTTTTTCAAGGATTTGTGGGCATTACGGAGTATATTCCTCATCCTCATCGCTTTCCTGGTCCCCATTGGTTTCCTCCTGGATGGCTCGCTGGTAAGTTAGATATTAATATAAAACATGAGTACATTGTGTTCATTATAATATATGAGTAGTTTGTACTTATCAACACGAAATCTATATTTCACGATGGACGTGTTATGCATGATATAGTTTGTGAAAAATATTTAAAACAACAATAACAACAACAACACAGACAGTATTTACGTGTGTGTGACTGTGTTTTTGCAGGTAATGTGTTTTTCAAAATACTCACAGTAACAGAAAAGTCATGATGTTATAAATAAACAACTCTCATATGACAAATTGTAGTTTACGGGTGATCGCGAACTGTTTACCCACATGTACATACAAATTGTAGTTTACGGGTGATCGCGAAGTGTTTACCCACATGTACATACAAATTGCTAAACAAAAGGAAAGAAAGCGTGTTTGTCGAATGAGGGACGGAACTTGTACGTTTTAATGAATATTAATAAACACACTGACTTTGAACGGTTATTTTCTTTATCGACAAGCCTCGATTTCCCCTTGATAATTATTCGAATATTTAATACTGTACTGTCACTTAAGGATCCCTGTGCCACTTCTGGGTAAACTCCAGACAGTTCCACTGTAGTCATTTTCATTCGTACGGGTTGCAGATGTAACTGTTCTGTGGGCTGGGTCGGGAAACTGTGGAGTGAACATATTTTGATCCGAGGTCAAGGGTTCAAATCCGGCTCTGGCACCGATGCCTACTTTAGTACATTTGTAATATATATTCAACACTTTTTAATAATGATAATAAACAAAATACTGAAAATCCACAAGGTACTGGTTTCTTACACAAATTTTGCTGGTAGAAATAGTTTAATTTATAGATACACGTTTTATTAGTGGTACGGGGATCGTTAACTTGTTGAGTATATGAATATCGTCCTGGGAAAATGACGAGGCGATTTAAGAACATGCATAAAATTAAATTAGTAATATATGTTATCATACACTTTTCCGTGAAATGAATTGATTTGCATCACATGAGTGATACTGTTTGTTCGTCTCCCGTCACGCGCCGTATCCGTTCAACACTATCACCCATATATGCCTAGCATGCGCCTTATCCATTTTACGTCTTGTTCAACACATCTCAGAAACCTGCCTCAGTGACGTCGGATTTGTGTTATTCGCCGATTAGTTTGATGTTGTACCTGAAGTAGTTAAAGCTTGTAGTATATAATGAAAACACAGTATAATAATATGACCATTTACATAAATGATATCCTTCCCCGTATCAACCCTCGCGTAATATCAGCCCTCGGGCGTCCGACCCCTCGGGGTATTGTTTATTTCAGTATCATGCATCACAATTACATGTACATTGATACATTTAAATATACAGTCATATGAAATAAAGCACTACAAAGCAGGGATCAGTAATCTTTTATGAAATATTGTTATAACAGTTTTGATACATGTATGTTAAAATCAATAAATTGACCCAAACGATCACAGATATCGGTCCAGAATAGGTGATCGGGACAGCCCCTACCTAACAAACTCTATGGATGTTGTACATAATATGACAAATTAAACGTTTGCTTCAAGATTTGCATTAAACCGGCTTAGACAAATATCAATAATACATCAAAAAATATTCTGGTTCTGCTTCGTATTATAATCAATGTTGCCGAGGGATTGGAAGAGCCCTACCAGAGAGGTATGCTAAATTCACACTTCTACATGTAAGTAGCTGATTCTAATTTAGAATGCTGCACATCTCTACACAATCCGTGATGTAAGATCATTTCCATTGGTTAGTATTTACATTTGTGTTGCAGTGCCTTTATATAACAGTACCAACTCAAAATGTTGTTACATTTTTTTGTTGTTACAATTTTTGCTAAAGGCCGCGGTTGTCAAGTGGTCAAGTGGTTAAGGCGTCTGACATTCTGCTACCACTAGCCCTCCACTACTGGGTCGCGGGTTCGAGGCTTACGTGGGGCAGTCGCTAGGTACTGGTCGTGGCTTTATAGGTCGGTGGTTTTTCTCCGGGAAATCAGGCTTTTCTCCACCACCAAAGCCTGGCACGTCCTTAAATGACCATAGCTGTTAATAGGACGTAAAACACAAACAAACCAAACCAAATTATTGAAAGCCTCTTTCTCAGTGGCGGATTTAAAGATTGTTTGGAGTTTTAAGACACCTACATCAACCTGAGAACTATAAATTATTTTTAAATTTTCAAATGCAACGATCCCCCCTTCCTCCCAACCCTGCCTTGATCCCCGGAAGTGATAATGACATCCCTCAGATAATTCTCTGAAACAGTATTGTATAATAATTTAATCTTGCTTGTTACAAGCATTTTCATTGGCTTAATAATTTATGTTATCAGCCCATAACGTAAAAAAAATGACGTCGCCGTTTGTAACGTCGCTTTTAATTGGCTGATACAGCAGCGCAATAACTTCTAAGAGAAAAAAGTCCATCAATAAAAGTGGATTTCCACAGAATTTGTGTATAGTAGATTAAATTATAAGGATTAACTAGAATATATTTTTCATGTTATGGAGCTATAACACAAACAACCGGACTGTACTCTCATTTAGGGTACACTCCGTTTTTGTGTGTTATATCTCCATAACATAACATCGTTTAGGGATTTATTAATCAAGATTCGTTTTTCACGGATGTTGCAAAACTCGGTTGGAATCAAAATATTGGCGCTTTACAATACTGTCATGCCGACATTTTGCAGTTCTTCTTCTAGGCTTACAGTTTAATATTAACCCGAGTCCATTTGTCTTAAGCCTTAGCAAGATATGTCGAAGGGAAACAGCTTAGTTTTGGTTTGGTTTGTTTGTGTTTCATGTCCTGTTAACAGCTAGGGTCATTCAAGGACGTGCCAGGTTTTGGTTGTGGAGGAAAACCGGAGAACCAGAAGACAAACCACCGACCTGCGGTTAGTGTAAACAATGGGAGATTTAAACTGTTTACGCGCTCTTTAATGACATTTGCTGTTAAAAGGACGCCAAACCCAGGTTGTTTATACCAAGCCTGTTACGCAATATGAACTATACCGTTTGTACATGTAGTAACTGATAGCTATAAAAAGATTACGAAACAATTTAACATGCGTCACAGATGAAAATTACATGACACGAAAAGTGACAAACAACATGACGACACGGAGGAAAGGTATTTACTATCACATGATATGTTTTATGCAGATTTCTTAAAAATTCTTATAAACATGTTTTCAAAATAATGACACACATGAGATGCGGAGCATAAACAACAACAAAAATAGGCAAAATCAATTTAAACTTTGACCTCTAATATGTTTGTTTATTTTCAGTGTACCTACCATATGGCCACTATTTGATTTATTTGAATGCATTTTATAAATTGAAGGTGAATAGTTCAAATGTTAAAAGTAAAATTGTTCAAGAAAATTTCACACCTTTCCACAATTAATCAGAACACTATTATATCTCAAATTTTATAACGATTACTAACAACGTAAATGTTATGCAACCCACTTTATGCTGACTCTATAGAGAGAGATAAGAGTTTCACAAAGAATGGATCATCTGGCATGTTAAACGACGCTATACAACACTGACAGATACAACAGGTACCATCTTAAAGCAGTAAACATCTAATTTTCGAAATCCGGAATATGGGATTACGATGTAAATCAACGTCAATTGAGGCCGTGAAAGGATACTGCATAGGGGAAAGAAGAAACTCTGAGAGAAACAACGTGAAAGCATTTACTGTAGAAGAGAAAGGGAGACGCCATGGAAAAGTAGGAATTACCATGAAACTCCAAGAAAAACAAAGAAAGTCCCGGAGAAAACATATAAAACACTGTGGAAACATTGGAAACATCGTGGAAATATATGAAACATCTTGGTCAATGTTTTTTTCCAATGTTCATATCACATCATATTCACCATCACAAAAAATATCCATAGTTGTGTAGCGAAACCTGACTTGTTTTGGATCATAAATCTAATATGAATGGAAACTTATGACAGATCCTCTATTTATAACATATATATCTAACAGTGTATATCGTGCTGCAAATCCATCAACTGGGTATGAAAAAATAAACAAATAACAAACAAAAACGCTGACACAGATATTCGGTATACCGCTTCTCCGGTGAAGCACAAGAAAGGTGCATGTAAGAAAATAGGTTTATATATTTTTATCACAGGTATTGCAGGTAGTACATAAAATGTATGCAAAACGAGACCAATTTACAAATAACGTAATTTTACCTTGTCAGTAGGTAGGACAAGGACGGTGACTTGGTCGTTCTGCTAAGATTTCAGGGGGATCAGTTCTGTGTCGTCTTCAAAGGGTGTTGAATTTTCGTCGTTAAACCTATCCTGTAATGACGTTACAGGTGTTTACAATTACAATATAAAATGGCTCAGAGGATAGAGATTTACGATAGCGGGACATGCAGTTAATTCCACAGGAAAGTCAGACAAACTTAAGTTAGAGATATTTGAGTTTTTGAGTAAGTTCATCATGCTATATACTGTACAACTATTTGTTTTCGCGGGCTAATATTTTGAGGTTGTCCTGGTCAGAGCAAGTTCGCGCAGATTAAGAACACGTTACAAGACTAGGTAAAAATATCGCGCTCACGAGAATACTTTAGCATTGCGTTAAGAAGATATATACTTTGCGCCGTCATCTTCCATTTCTGAAGGCAGTAGATAAATAAACACGAGACATTTAGGCCGTTAATATAAAAAGCGTGTTTTTTTCAAACCATAAATACAAAAGCATATAAGTCAATACAAACCATGGATTGATAAACGCGGGTTATTATATACCGTTAATTTAACAGCGCAAACGGTGTAATATGAAACTAAATGAAGTGAAATGTGAACATGCTACACGTAAAAACATTGTATACATAGATATAAACAAATAAATAACGTACAAATATCTTGACACAGACGATTGTTTACGAGGGTCCTTTTTCATATCGGCGATGATATTTATTGTACAAGTGATTTATATTAATAAAA